TGAGAGTGTGTGTGTGTGTGTGAGAGAGAGAGAGAGAGTGTGTGTGTGTGTGTGTGTGAGAGAGAGAGAGAGTGCGTGTGTGTGTGCGTGTGAGAGTGCGTGTGCGTGTGTGTGTGTGTGTGAGAGTGTGTGAGAGAGTGTGTGTGTGTGTGTTTTACAGGACAATAACATCCAGTCATGTCTGCCACTGGAATTCACTGAAGAACAGTTCAAAACAGAAGATACAAGGTAAAACACACAGATGGATCTTTTTATTTGTCACAGGATGATGTGCACTGAAGTCATTCCTGCAGTTTGGTGGATTTGTGTCCTCATGAAGCACTGCTGCATATGTTACTCCGCTGATCTGATCACGCTCTTGCTCTGTAACGTCTCTGATGTCTGTCTCTGTCTGTCAGGCTGCTCGTGGCTCTGTCTGTGACTCTGGGTCTGTTTGTGATTGAACTGGCTGGGTTTCTCTCTGGAGGCTCCATGTTCAACAGTAACCAGGCCGTGCTGTGTATCCTTACAAGCACTCAATCGTAACTCAGTTACAGTCAATCTGATCAAGCAGCATCAGTCAAACACCTCAAATAATAAACAGCTTTTACTCAATAATTCAGTTTTGCTTTTAAACAAAAAGATTATAATATTCTTGGAAGTAATCAATGTTATGTCACAAGCACTAAATATTACGGAAGCTTACTTCCACCATGGAATAAAAAAAAATATTTTTAACTATTTGTAACTATTTATCTTACAATTATTACTTTTTTCTTGCAATTTCAAGTTTATATCTTACAGTGAGATGTAAACTTAGAATTATAAGAAAAAAGCCAGAATTGTGAGATATAAAGTCAGAATTATTCAGAATTACTATCCGGTTCTGATCTTACCCTTCGCTCTGTTGCTGTGTGTCAGTGTTTCTCTGAACGTCTCTTCAGCTCTGCTCTCTCACTCCGGCGCCTGCGTCAGTCTGTCCTGCTTTGTTTTCCAGCAGTGGCCCTGCTGGAGCTACTGGATCATGTTCAGCCTCTGCAGGTCCGTCTCCTCACACACTGATTGATATCAGCAGCACTTTAGAAGTATTATAAATCATCAGATCTGGTGAATGGAGCTCTTACTCATTTAGTGTCTGTGTGTGTGTGTGTGTGTGTGTGTGTGTGTGTGTGTGTCTGTGTCTGTGT